TTACCTTATCGTTGACAAAGTTGATCTGGCAACGTAGAAACCGTGGTACAGAAGCCAACAAAATCTTCATTAAAACACTTTCGTAAATATTCTAGGAGCAAGGCGTAAGAACTGTTTTCAAATTAAACTCAAACACTACTTAATATTTTTTTGGAAAATGTATTTGAATAGATCGATTGGATTTAGTAAATTTTCAAAAAATACGAGAAAGTAAAAAGAAAGACTTAAACTTCTTGCTTCTTTGTTGGGAAAAAGGTATTGTATTTTAAAAAGACCTGAACGTCTTGTCTGATGAGGATGATGTGTACAAAACTCATGGTTTTTATTCATTGTAATACTAAAACCTATGTGTGGAAGGCAACTAGTTAGAGTGATGTTTCTTGACTCAGAATAAAATTTTCGTTTGGAAAACATGATAAATGTGTTAATAATTTGAAATTACTACTTGATGATTTTACTTTTAATCTCACTTGACATGGACAATGTATTCGTTCATAAGTGAAAATGTGCCCTGATGACAAACATGTGTTATTATTCTCACGTTTTTTGATTACGTGTATTTTAAATTTTTCTGATTCAATATTCAGGGAAATATTTCAATAAAATACGTTTCTCTTGGATTAATCTGTTGAATTACTGACAGAAAAAGAATAGTACGTCATTTGTATTGTCTTTATATGAAATAGAGCAAGGTTTGTTTTAGTAGGAAACCGTCATAACTTCAATTCTTAAGGTTTACAAAATATTTAATAAATAATCCCAGTTCGTAAAATGAATGCTTCAAATACTATTTTATATTAGTTTGATAATTTGAAAATTGAAAATGTATTCTCCAAATGTTACATTAAGACATATTTGCTATAGAGATTTTCAATTAATGTTAACAAAACGTCTTTGTGAAAAACCCACTGTTAAACATAATAATTCATTTTGAATTTAGAAACTATTGAAGAATGGTTTGTTTTTACTTTGATTGTTGGAATCGTACGACCACTTTTATTACTTATTCATTGTTATTCGTATAATAATATATAAATATATAATAGATATAATATATATCTAAAAATTAATATTTTCCTCTTTACAGAACTTCTATTTACCAGTACGTAACCAAAGAGAACACTTAGCAACAATTTTTTACCAACTTTATCAACTTCATTTCATCATAAAACTTACGTAACACTGGCAAATAATTTACATTCGCGTTGTTTTATCTTTGCTGCTATGTTTGCGCAGTGAATCGTAACGTACACATCTATGTGGAGTCATGCAGTGGTTATTGTGGTGCCACTCGTAGCTTATTTATGGTGTTGTAGCATCTTGTAATTTAATATAAAGTATATTAGTACTATTAAAAAGTAAATATAGATTTATTAACAAATGATTATTTTGTAGTATATTATTTGCAATTAGGGTAGTAATATTTGAAATTAAGGTAGTAAATATTTCTGTAAAGTGTTATTTACCCAGTTGTGTGTACTATATCAGAAAAGTGTAATCTTTCTTGTTCAAGCGCTACTTGCAATTCAGGTCATCGATAATTTTACTTCTAATGTGTGAAATATTATCATTTGCGACTTGTATATCTTCTCCTATCACATACCTTTTATCATAAAGTTTATGGCCCATCTGTTAACTTGAGCAGGGCATCAATGTCCACGGTGGTTGATACCAGGATGGAGGTGTTAGGAAATAAATAACACACATTACTCTTCAGGTGAAATTAACTTCGTAATTATTATTATTTAGCGTACAGGATACTTATTACTTTTTATACATTAACAGTGACGGGACTAGCGCTTGAATATTGCTTGGGAAATGATTGTAAGGTAAGGAGGGAATTGTAACGCCTGGAGCAAATGATCTGCAGAAACTATTCGTCTCGGATTCCGAGAGCAGAGAAAACGTTATTTTGGAGATAGTGTGGAATTTGTTTCTTAGTAGTAAATGAGAAAAAGCAACTTAAGTCTGAAATTATAATTGCACCACGAATCCGACTTTTCGTTACGCAAGTCTTCAGGGGAAACGTGTCTGTGTTGTAGGATCACGTGATGTGCTGCAGAATAAAATAGTGTACACACATCATCGAGAACAGTCGACAGCAAACACTTGGGTTGCGCGTCTCTGTTTGACAGTCGCACAAGAAAGGAGTGCTCTTTTTACAGCGCTCATGGCCCATAAAGTGCTCTGTGGGATTAGAGGTCATGATGTTGACGACTATTTGTGCAATTTGAATTTGTGTTAAGTAAATTACGATAATTCGCTGTAAATCATAGTCGTTATCAGCTCGCCTATGGTACATATTTGCGACTTTTATTTTCCTTTGAATTGTCTAACCATCCTTGGCAAGTATATTTGGCCTTACAGTATTTTACTGCCCAGGAATGAAGCAGTTGTTGAATATGCGATTAAAAGTACAGAAAGAAATATTTATCAAATTCAAATCAATATCTTCCTAGCTCTCAGTATCCGTAAATGTCTTTTGACTAGATGTAAATAAGTTGTGTTCCTAGCAGATCGCAGAGGATTAATCTTTTTTGTGAAATGACACACAAATACCCTAGGAATAGGTACGTGTTGACGTAAGGCATTGGGCAATGGGGTAGGCGGAAACTGAACGTCCAGTTGAATAATATATTTGTACGTAATCAACTATACATTTACTATTAAAATTGTGCATTCAAACCCTGTATCGACCGACCATTGACTTATCAACACTCACTTAACAATAATTAAAGTAAATAATATCAAAGGAATCTTTGGCCACTTATTTTAAGGCTAAGGTTAAACTGCTTTTAAGCACTGATATGTAAAACATTGTTTTATATGAAAACATCTTAACTATCATTTACGCAGTTAAAAATTTTTTCCAATACCTATCTGCAATATTTGATTACTTTTGAATTAAACATTATTTTCTCTCTTACATCAACAATATAAGTGTTGTGGTGGAACGTTAGTTATTGCTAGTATTTGCTCTGAACTTCGTTGGTCATTCAGGGGATGAGTGCACGTCTACCCTGGGATCTTAGACTCCCTGTTTACAATAGTTTTGACTATAGGAACTTAAAATACAGAATAATACAATGATCACATGACTTCCAATTTTCCATGTTTTGCTTTCTACAAAATGTGTTGGTTCAGTCAGAAATGTTAACACTGTATGTTTTGGACATGCAGGTACGCCGATAAATGTACACACCTATTATGATAGAAACTTCTACTAAAATCTAGCGATTAAGTAAGATTGGAAACACCGTGAACCGTCATCACTGTCATCGTCATCAATATCAAGAACACGCACACGCACAGCAGTTGGCACATGAATCAAAACGAAGAGCAAAAAACACAGTCGAGATATGACACGTTAGAACTATTGCTATTTTTCTTAAATTTAAATTCTAGTTACATACATATATAATGTGGTAATATTGAAATATATAATCAAATAGTATATCTACATCACATGATTCTGATTGAAAAATTATCGCTTTTCACTAAACTCAAGCGAAATTCCATACGAAATTGCCTGCTCACGCAACGCACCCTGTCTGTGACGACCTGCGCAGCAACGTACACAAAACCCGCGTCCACTTGACTTCTACTGACGTAGCACCAAGTTCCAGAGAACCTTCTCAGTCTGTCGCTCCGAGGGCAGAGCGTCGCCGCGCGCGAGCTCCTGGGCCGCTGTCCGCAGGAAGGCAGAGAACGGGAGAGGCCGCGCAGCACTCTCAACATTATTGCGAAAGGGGCGTTTGCGAAAAGTAACTGGTACTCTCGCAGATTTCAGGTAAACACCAGAAATCTGCTTTCATTGTCCTGTGATAGGGAGTGTGAAGCGATGTGGAGATCCGTACCCAGTGTTTCTTAGCGACGATTTCCTGAGTAGTTCCAGTGTCGTTTCCACGCGCGACTGACCATTGACTTGACCGTTTCTTGGAAGCCTGACTTCCTGCTTCTACGTGTGACTTGCAAAGAACCAAGATTTGACACCGGTGATTTCGAATGGAATATGGTCGTGCACTGATGAAACGTCTCAGTTCGCAACTTTCAACTACGTGACGTGCCACACGTACGCCAGTCTTTCGTTAGGAGATCACTTTATGACTATTGACGACACGCACGTCCAGCGAAGTTCCTGAAAGGGCCGCCGGTGCCTGAACCGAGAGCCGGGTTCGCCGCGCAGCTCGTTCCAACCACACGTCGCCGGCAATTCTTCGACGAGTACGAT